GGCACTGGCCTTAGCAATCTTTGGAGACATGGTGACATTCAAGTCCTTAAAAAACGAATTCCTTCCATACTTGATAGCATTCTCTTTCCCAGTAAATCTGCAACTCCCCATCTCTCCACAGGAAATCGGTTTTATTTATAAGAAACCACAATCCTAAACTGACCTTTGCTGGCAGCCCTACCCTCTCTCACCCCACTCGTTTCCCAAACACATTCTCCCCCGAAGAGTCCTCAGTGACCACAGAGCAGTGAGACTGGTTGAGTGGCTGAAAAGCCATATAAGAGACACATGACAGCTGTTTTCTAGGTGGGGAAACTGAGGCTTGTAAGGTCGGGTGACCGGCCCACAGAAGCAGAGTTTGAGGTCACCAGGTTTCCGGGCTGCTGTGTTTGTTCTCCATGCTGTCATCACCTCTGGTGGCTGCCACAGTGCCTTCCTCCCCAGCTTGGGAGGAGACTCCCTCCCCTGAAGGACAGACGCCTTCAGAGCAGCATTTCCTGTCATTAAAGCGCTTGGAGGAAAACCCGCACAGCTTTCTCAGCTTTGAAGCTCCCTGGCCTGTCCTGGCCCTTTAATTGTGCTGGAAGCAGCGGCGTTCCCAGGGTTTCTACCCCATCAGGAAGGGCCCAAAACAGAATTCCTGGCTCCCAGCTCTTCTGTACCAACACAATCTCTCCCATTTTTTCTGTTTTAAACCATTTCACTGCCAGGCTCCCACACAAAGATCTTCAAAGTCAGTAGTGGCCAGGGTCAAGTACAATGAGCAAACTCAGAGCTTCAGGCAAAGCATGGAGACTTTGACACTGCTTGTAAACAGTGTTCCCATGCCTCTGCTCAAAGCCTGACGGTGATCCCAGCAGATTCCGCAGCTCTCAGAAGATACGGTGGAATAAGAAGTGTGCACACTATTTCCTCCCCACTTGCCTGCATCTCTCAGGCTAGGGATGGATACTGAATTCTAGTTGGCCCTGTATAGCCTGAGGTTCTGTGGCCTCAGAGTCAGCCAATCCTAGATCCACAGTGTTGGGCTAAAGCACTTGCGAAGATGCTATGCCTCCCTCTGCAAGCCACAGCCCACTTCAAGGACTTGACTTGAGCTCTGCCACACTCTGGTGCCCTCAAACCAGTTCTTCCAAGGAGCAGATGGACTTTCCTCTTTGTGTTTCCTTGTACGTGTTTGTGAGCGTGTGCGCGTGTGTCAAAGGCTGTCAGTTAATCTTTCTCACTGCTCCCACCTTACTCTTTTAGAGAGTGAAAATTAGTCTCATGGGAACTTGGAGCTTGCCCATTCCGCTACAGTGGTTAGCCAGCACACACTGCCATATTTGGCTTTCTACATGGGTGCTAAGGTTATGAGTTCAGGTCCTCACGCCTGCATGGCAAGCGCTTACCGCCTGAACCATCTCCTCAGCCTACTCTTCTGTTTTTCTATTTTGATGTTTCATTTTTTAAAAACAAATATGGTTCTCGACTTTGGATCCTATTAGCCATGTGAAAGTCTTTGAAAACAGCAGTGCCTACCCATACTCTGGACATTTAAATCAGCATGACTGGTAGGGTCAGAACATCCCTACCTTTCCATGCCACACACATACATGGCTCCATGTAAGCTGGGGTTAAGGACCCCTGCTTCAGGGTCAAACACCAGCAGGGAGAAGGCTGAGCTCTTACTCATGGAGAGAAATAATTCCTGAGGTGGCACTGTTAAGTTATCTACCTGCTTTATAGCTCTTAACTATTTATTTTTCTTTTCAGACCTTCCTTGACCTCAGCTCGCAAGAGTCCCCAACATGCTCTGATCACATTGCTTTCTGCACAGAATTTCACACCTTCCCTCTCCCTCCTGTATCATAAAGGTGATCAGACTTGAAAACCAAAGGCTACAGGAGAAGGAGTCACCCCACAGCCCACCGCTCCTGTCTAGAATGAAGTGTGTATACCTCAGCCAGGCTAGCTAGGATCCAAGTGTGACGCAACTTCAGGAAGCTTCGGCATGATGTTCCAAGCGCAATCTGCAGATAGTAGGTCAATCACATTTGGCCCTGGACCCACTCTCCAGCTGGAACAGCAATAGGAACCAGGATCCTTGACTGCATGGGATGAGGTCAGCCAATGGGCTGCGCGCGCGCGAACACACACACACACACACACACACACACACACACACAGGAACACAAGCATGCACAGTGATACAGATGCTCTTCAGAGAACTGTAAATACACAAACACTCAAGGATGGGAATCTTTTCAAGACGCCCTGTAGGGCTTGGCACTGAATCCTGGGCACTTGAGGGGTTCTTACTGCATATACAATGGCAAAGAGATTCTCATGCAAGGCACAGCAACTTTACCAGCACTTGACAGCAATTTCAGGAAAGCTCCGTCCCTCTGGAAAGGAACCCACACACACTCCCACAGCCCTTGTTTCTCCTGGAGAACCATGGTGATCTAGCAAAGGGTGTTGAAAAGGAAGGAAGGCCTGGAAGATTGTGTTAGATGTTCAGCTGTCCTTAAGCTCCCTCAAGACAATTAGCCCAGAGCTAAAAACACAGCTGCTACTGGGAGGTTGCACAGGGAGGCTATGGACATGGAAATCTTTTTTTTGTCCTACCATGACAGCTCTCTAAGCCTTTCAAATTAGAGGAAACAGTTTTAGATTCAGAAGGCAATAATGGGCAGTCCTACCTGTGTGAGAAAGAGAGCTTAAAACTGAGAATGTGAAAGTATTTTAAATTTAAAGAATTGTCAGATGCCATGAGGGTTTCTTTGGTCAGTTTTACAGCTAAGTTCCAAGAGCCAAGATAAACCTTGTTTTTCTAATCAATTTTATCATTTAAACCTACTTATTCTGCGGTGTGTGTGTGTGTGTGTGTGTGTGTGTGTGTGTGTGTGTGTGTAAGTGAGTGAAATCAAATCCAGGATCTAGCACAGGCCAGGTAAGCTAACAATGAGCTACACCCCAAAACCTTACAAAAAAATATAATGGCCCCAGTCTCTGACAAGCAAGGGTGGCCTGGCTCAGCCAGATTCCTGGTGTATGGGCCATGGAGCTTAGCACTCAGTTTGCACAGACAAGAATTTGCATTCATTGAGTTCCCAAAGCACGACCACCCACCTCTCCTGAGAACAGAAAATGTAACTCACTCCCCCAGGGCAAGAAGATCCCCATATTCTTCCCAGAAAAATTAGTAGATATTGGCAGCATGACATCAGTGAGATTTGAAGTCATGCTTCCCCAGAATCAAACTGAAGAAGATGCCTTGATTCTCTTTTGCAATCCAGGTAATCTGTTCCAGAAACATAAACCCTCTGACCTGAAACCCAGTTCCTTTCAGTGAGCGGAAGCCCCTAACTGATCCTGGTGGAGAATGAGATTTTCGGCTCCCAGAGGAGGAAGATAAACTGGCAGATTCTGTCCTGTCAAGGGCCCATTCGGAAACCACACAACAACCTGGGCAGTAACCTGGGCGCACAGCCACCCCTGTTGCCTGGTCTCGAACTTGAACCAGTTTGCTGCTTGGACAAAGAAGCTTGCAACTTGAATTCTCAATTTGGGGCCAACATCTGCTTCAGCTTCACAATCCGGGAGCTGAAGGGAGCTTGGCGGTTGGTATTTCCAGCGAGGAGGCACCCAGGCCTCCATCCACGCCCCCTGGAAGGGCGGAGGCCCAGGGTGGAGCAGCACATTGCCATTTTACCAGGAGAGGGGCTGTGGCCGCCCGTGTTTGACACTTTCCCGCCCGAAACTGACCAGATTCCGTAAGAGCTTAGGTAAGATTGCTCGGTTAGACATGGAGAGAGGCTCCAGTGAAAGGTCACGGAAAGAAGCCCACGTTTGCTCAGCGGTTTCTGCCACCCCACTGACCGAAGAGCCTAGACCACTTACAGGTGAGCCTCACTAGTCACTAATGATCCTGAGGAGACGAAAACGCAAAAGGAGAGTCAAAAGACGTTAGTTTAGGGGACGAAAGCCTGTCCACACAGGTCCCTCATAAGAGTGCCATAAATGAGAAACCTCGGCGGGAGGGTGAGATTCCTTGAGATCTGAGCGTTCGCCTAATTCCCCTCCCAGGGGAAAATAAACACAGAAGCCGAATTTCCTCTCGCAGATTTAGTCCATTTAGGTTTACTCAAACCCCTGGAAAGAAGTGAGTGCAAGAGGCTTTTCCCAGAGGAAAAGCATGTGGGGCACACCGAAATATCCGCTTTAGGGGCAGCACCTTGAACCCTCCTTTCAAAGGACCTACTATCCGAGGCTTCTGGACTGTAGCCCTGGGCGTCCAAAGCCCTCCGGGCATATCCGGGCCGGCCCGCCCACCAGAGTTTGGCCAAGGTCCCTGGCCAGAGCCAAATGCAAGCTCGCTCCGCTGCCAGGACGCCTACAGGCGCTCCACCTGCCGGGCAGCCCGCGGGCTCCCAACCCACACCCCACCCAGCTTGGGGGTGCATGGTCCTCAGAGGGCACGCAGAAGCTGTTGCCGAACGGGGGAGAGCCGAACCTAGTCAGGGACAGAACAGCCCGCCACCCCGCCACATTAAAAGTTTTCCTTTCCGCCGCCGAACAAGTCTTCCAGGATCCTGAAAGAAGCCCCTCAGCGAGGCGGCACCCGCCGAAAGGACCCTACAAACTCGCCCCTTTGCCCCAGCAGCCCACTGAGGCCTTACTTGGGCAGCCCCCCCCCCCCCCGAAGTGTACACATCTTTTCCCCGGAGGTAAACTTGGGGGTGGGAGTGACGATGACTCCGGACACACCCTCGGTTCTCAAGCACGGGAGAAGCCTCACCTTGACCTCCAGGCAGAGACCTCTACCCTAGGGACCCAAAAATATCTAAGCGCGCCGTGTTCTACGCCCAGGAGCCCACCGCCCTGTCCGTGGCACCGCGGTTGCCACCTCTCGGGCTGCGGTCCCTTGGGCGTAGAGAGCCAATTCTAGCCACCCGAGTCCGGGCGACAAGCCCCATCATCCTTCCCCGGAGCAAGTCGGTGCGCCCAGCCCTCACCTTTGTAGCGCTCCATCCCGAGCGAGCTCGGCGTGCTCCCGGCGCTGCGGTCCGCGGGCGCTGCGCTCCCGGCGCTGGGCCCTCCCAGTGAGGTCACGCTAGCCGCCCGACCTCCCGGAGTGGCCGCCGCGCCCCTCGCCCTCCGAGCTGCTCTCCGCCCGGGCGAGCTGCCCTGGACCCCGCCGGAGATGTCCGCGGCGGGTCGGGACAGCCAACGCTCCCGTCCTGGCGCACCCCGCGCTGGGCTCCCAGCCCCGGCCGCAGAGCCCTTCCTCCAGGTCCTCCCGAGGCCGGCGGCGCCAAGGAGAAAAGCTGGGACGTCCTCCAAGCCTGGGGCAGGCTCGGGACCAACGGGCTCCGGCAGGTCTCCACCGAGCTCTGTTTTGTCAAGAGCCAGAGCCGGGGCTGCGAACCCAATGCCGGGAGGAGGAGACTGAGGGCCGGCGGGGAGGAGGAGATGGGCCTAGAGCGCCTCCTGCTGACCCCTCACGGCAGTGTGCCCGTGTCCTGGCCCCGCCTGAGCGCACACACAGCCTCACCCGCGCCAGCTCTCAGTCCACCGCCTGGCACCTGTGAATCGGGTGCCCTACAGGGCACAGGAACACATCTACTTGCAGCCTGCTCCCTGTCGCAGGTTTTTTCGCCTGTAGCCTGGGCTTTCTTGGGGAGGACTTGGACTTCCAGAAAAGACGGCACCTGTCCTGACGTGCCATCTATTCTCAGCTTTACCAACACCACCGAGGGACGCATTTTCATCCTACGCTTTCTCTGCCATCCCTTCAGTCCTTCCAAATGTCCAAATCCTCCCAAAAGGCCCGCGTTTTCTTTTACTCTTTTGGGTTTTCGCTTTTGAAACCGTGCTATGTGCCAGATGCTTGTTTCTTGAATCTCCCGGCTGCTTGGAAGAAACACTTAGGGAAGAACTGTTGTTTTCGGAGAGGCTTCTTCATGCCCCCCTCCCCCGCCCTCGCCAGCAGCACTCAGCGCTGGCGTCTGGAGACCTCCTGCCCAGCAATCCGTGCAAAGGCTTTCCCAGTCACTGCCGCAGCCCCCACAGACAGACCCTCCTCACAGCCAGGAGCCTTGGAGTTTGCCTGCTCACCCTGTGGTAGCAGGTCTCTGTCTCTCTCCTCTAGTAGGAGAAACATGTTTTTAGGGGTGGGGTGGGGGGCTAGCCGGAAGTCACGTGGCGTGGAAAGCACAGCGCTGGGAGGACCCCCAGGGCTGCCTAGTTCCAAGTGTGTGTGTGTGTAGACCAGAGACCTGCACGTGCTGCATGCACATGAACACACACAAGTGCACACACACACACAGAGTTGGTGGCGATGGCAGGACATGGTATGCTTCTGCCCTTTGGTGTCCTCCTTCTCACTCACCCCCCTTCCTTTCTTCCTTGTGCAATGGCCCAGCATGGCTCAAACCCTCTGTTCTGGGGCGCTTTCAGAAACTCTCAGTGGTGCTCTGGGACCCTCTGGTCACTGGCCACTGCTGGCCAGGCCGGGTGAGCAGGTCCACCCTACTCAGCAGGGCTTATTTGAGCTAACCTCACTAGAGGTTGAAGGAGGCCTGGCACAGACTAAAAGGTCTCCTCCACTCTACAAATGAGAGAACCCAGGGCGGGGGTGGGGCGGGGGTGGACTTGCAGAGTCTTCCAGAGCTAGGACACAAACCAGGCAAAACCCAGGTTTCCTGATTCTAAATCCTGTTCCCCTCACACCCTTCAGTTCAGGCTTTCCTGTGACATTAACTCGACAGTGCTGTCCCCGTGAAATCCTCTGAGACCCTCTTTGTGCCTAGCAGGAAAGCATGGCACCCCTTCCAGGCCAGCCAGGCTCCCCCGTGTCCTGCCAACTTCCTTAACCCCTTCTTGTCTCTAAACTGGTTACAGCTTGCCTGCACCCTCTCCAGACACACACAAAAATTAGACATGTGGTTCAAGTCACTCTAAAGCTGTAATTCTCAACCCCGTTTCAGAACAAAGCTGAAAGGGCAGAACCACCAACAGGAATTTCAGGCAGGCCTCCTTGTCCTCACCTTTGCCCTAGGCAACTTTGGAACTTCCACAAAGGAAAAGTCACTGAGTTTCTGTCAGACACCTGAAACCAAGAGCAGTGCTGAATCCTGTATCAAACAACACTGATACCCAGTGTGCTAGCCAAGCCAACTATGGACCCTGGCAAACAGGCCATGAGCACACTGGAAAAAGAGGACATACAGGCGCAGAGCGGGGAAGGATTCCACCCTAAGTCTTCATCGTGCGACTCAGAATGGCAGGATTTCTTGAACCTAAGAATTACATATTTATGGAATTTTCCATCTAATATTTTCAGATCCCGACTGACTAGAGAAAAATAAAGCTGTTAAAAATGAAACCAAAGCGAGGGAGTACTCTGCTGAGTACGAAGCCAAGTATTAGCAGCAGCAGTATTGTTTGTTTGTCTTGTGTTTGAGACCGAGTCTCATGTGACCAGGCTGGCCTGGTACTTACTGTGTAGCCAAGGATGGCCCTAACTCCTGATCCTCCACCTATGCCTCCCAAGCTCTACAGCACCATACACGGCCAGGAGCATTCTTTTTTCAAAACACAAAGGGACAACTGAGGGACCAGGAGGGGTGTCCAGAGGAAGTGTGCTTTACAAACTCCTTATGTGCACGGCCCAGGAGGCACACATTCCTTCCTCCCTGTTTTCAGTGTAGATGGGAAGTACCTTGGCCATGGGCAGGTGGGCAGGGGCCAGGCAGTTGTTAGGGCCTCTGCAATGGCTTTCTCCCCCAGGCTGCATTTCATCACCCCTGCCACTATTCTCTACTCTTTCTTTCACACCAGCTCAGAGCCACCACCCTTGGGGCTGGAGAGATGGCTCAGCAGTGAGCACTGACTGCCCCTTCAGAGTGCCAGGTTCAAATCCCAGCATCCACAGGCAGCTGTAACCAACTCCATCTGTAACCAACTCCAGCGGATCTGATGCCCTCTTCTGGCTCCTGTATGCACGAGGCATGCGAGTGGTGCACAGATATACATGCAGGCGCGCACACACAGATGGAAATTTTAAAAGATTAAAATAAAAACCTTAAAAGCCTCCATTGGAGTCCCTGCTCCCCCCCCCCCCCCGCCATCCCGTCCTCCTCCGTCATCCTTCCAAGGGGTGACCCCATTCACTGTAAACTCTCCCACATATGAAAAAGGTATCTTATTATTTTATGTATGTGTATGTTCGTGCCCACACAGACACCTCCACAGGCCAGAAGCAGGGCTCAGATCCCTGAATCTGCAGTTGCAGGCTGTTGGGGACCCCTTGACACGGTGCTGGGAACGCAGCAGGTGCTTTTAACCACAGAGCTGTCTCTCCAGGCTGCTGTGCTGAGCATGGCTGCCAGCACATACTCCAATCATACGACAAATGAGGTGCTGGTTTTCCACAGCCGTCACGCATTCCAGGAAACAGTTTAAAGGAGAGCTTTCCCCGACTTGGGGTTTCGGTGACGACAGTCCATGCACCTGGTCGGTGAAGCCCAAATGTCAGAGCTGAAGGGCATGCTGGGACAGAGCCACTGGCTTCGCTGCACCTGAGAGGCAGAGAGACACAAGGAAGGGGACAGGGACAAGGTGTGTGCCTCCAGGGCACGTGGAAACACACTGCTTCTTCCCAGGAGGCCCTTCCACCATCTCCACAGTGTGTTATGATTCTGTGAGGGAACGCCATCGTGCTATGATGCTGTGGGGTGGGGTGTCCGTCCTTCATGATCCAATCACCTGTCAGTGACTGGCTGCACCAGCTGGGACCCGGCCCTCAGCACAGAGTGTTGGATTTGGCAGTTCATAAACAACCAAAACAATGAATAAATGAATGGATATTTAGGTTTTAGTCCCCTATAGGAGGAAAAATAAAACCCACAAAATGTCTTTTCTGCTTCAGTTGAGTGAGACAGGAAGGTTCCTGTCTGGTGGGGGGTGGGGGGTGGGGGTGGGGTCTAAAGACTTTTGGAGAGTGTAGCATTTGAAATAAGACTTGGAAGAATGAATGAATACTTTTTAAAAAGTTTGTTTCATTAGATGGGGGAGGTGGCTCCGTGAGCAGGACACTGGCTGCTCAAGCATGAGGGTGTGAGCTCACATTCCCAGAATCCATAAATGGAGGCTGGGAACACACTTGTGACATCACAGTGCCCTACAGTAAGACTGGCAGCAAGACTTGAGAGTCCCCGGAAGCCGGAGGGCCGGACGCTGTGGCACAGGCCGGGCAGACAGCAGAAAGAGCCTGTCCTAGACAAGGTGGAAGGCTGGGGCAGACAGCCGCGGCTCCCTCTGAGCCCCACGCACACGGCCCACACCGCTCACTCACGCCGCTCCTTACCCAGGGCTGTGCAGTGCACATGGCTTATAATGGGCATTTCCTGACGCTGGACAGTCGACGAAGCCACAGTCTTCATAGCAGACTGTACGGAGGCTGGCAGGTCCACACCGCATAGTGTTACCCTTGGAGAAACCGAGGCCTGCGCTTGAGGGAAGGAGCAGGCGGCAGTCACTGCACAGATGGAACCTCTTAGGCAGCCTGACGCATTCTAAAACAAATATCCGATTCACAGTAAACAAGCAAAGCCGAAAGAGAGTAGAGAAGGGGGGACGAAGCGGGGGAGGGTGGAGGAGGGCTCCCAGTGACCTGTGAGTTCCATTCTGCCTGTTATGGCTGGTGACTTAATGAGGACAGAAAGACCAACCCAGGCCAGGCTGTGGGCCTCACAGGGAAGTCACCTCCACCTCTCCTCAGCTGTGACTAAAGAAGAGATGTCGCAGACCGAGGAACTGGGGTGAGGGCGGTGGCTTCCAGCTGTCCTGTAAAAAACTTCAGTTCAGGAAACTACCTCTAGTCATGACTGTGCTTATGTGGATGGGGCACTCGGTGTTTACCGAGGACCCAGGCAGCTCGGGACCCAGGAGCTGCTGAGGTTGGTTTGGGGAGTGGCACCTGGAGGGTTTGTTCCTACCTCACACTACTCACAGAGCTCACAACTCCAAGAAGGCCCCACTCGGTCCCATCTGCAGCTACTCCACAGTCAGCAGGAGCCACTTGGGCCTTCTCTCCAGCACTATGAGCCGGGAGGGCCGAGGACCAACTCCTCATTGCCCAGCCCACTCAGCC